GCCATGTTGTAAAAGCTGGCAGTAGAGCAGGTGATCAAACAATTTTCCTACTTTACCTTTACTTAAGATACGTCTAAGTCCATTTAATTAAAGTTTATAATTTCTGATTAATTTGTTATTGGGCAATGTCACAAAGCCAATAATAAAACATTAAGTAAATGTTTCCATGTTTTTTTAAACTGAAGTCTAAATATTAAGACTATAATTTATGACCTGGGATAGGCAATCCTGCTTCCAGAGGGCTGCTGTCCTGCATGTTCAACTTGTTTCTCTGCTTCTGCACACCTCATTCAAATAAATAGGTGATTATTAAAGGGGACCTATTATGTAAAATTCACTTTTTGAAGTTTTTTTTAATTCAACTTTGGGTATGTACTTCTTAAAAAAAACAGTCCTAGGACCAAAAAAATGCACCCAGGGGCATATTTACTGTAAGTAAATGTATTTTTAATGTATATTGACAAGTTTTATACTTCTGTCATTTTGTGATGTCACAAGCCGTACGACAACCCACCGGAACCTGCGTTCAGCCCCTTACCTAGCAACCCCCGGGTGAGACTCCACCTCCTCARTATAAAAAGCCGTCACGGTTGTTGTTGTGCCATGCTCAGCTCATTTCACAAAAAGCCTCCAACAGGGCAATGGATGGACCAGAGAGCAGGAGACCAGGGTTTGAGACCGGCATGGACACAATTTAGTCATTTATTTATTTTCATTTGTTATGAACACATTTTCTCATGTACCTCTATTGTTTAGCTTATTAAAGCCTTTTTAAAGCCTATTTGTTTGAGTTTCTGAGGTATTTTGACCGCTGCTGCTCCCTGCTCTGGTAACAGCATGCAGAGTGAGCGCAGAGCAGAGGAGGGAGAGAAAAAAAAAAGAAGCTGCGACCATGATTCTGCCTCTGGGTCTCATATGGTTGTACAACGGAGCTTCTGCTATTATTAGCCATGCTAACGTAAACGCTGGCTTTGGAGGGCGGAGTTAATGTCAACAGATTTTTGGAGGGCGTTACCAACAGAGCTCATTAACATAAACAGCTCTTCTGAACGGAAGTCAGAGCAGGCAGAACTAGAAAATGGGAAATTTTATTATCTGAGAATTATTTTGTGCATTAAATTGAATGAACATGGTCTGGATAGCCCACAGGCATACCATAAAAATTTCTAGGACCCATAATTGGTCTCCTTTAAGCTTCTTCAGAACTGGAAAAGGTATTTCAATCAATGAATCAGATGTGTTGGAGCAAACAAATCATGCAGGATCAGGTTTGCCGACCCCTGGATTAGACTCTACTGCCCAACAGTTTTGGTTTGCTAAAGGGAGAGACTTGATTGCACGTAATATCAGATATTCTGTGGAGAAAATACCAGCACTGTTGCGACATGTCCTTCGCTTAGTCTGTTTATCTTCCTCTGGGTCTCACCTCAACCTCTTCAACAGATGGCTGGTTTTGACTGCACCTAACCCCTTTTCTTTTCAGCTCATTTGAAGAAGGAGACCCCTCCATCAAGGAAACRCTGCAGTGTTGAAGACAAGAGTGGAAACACCCCTTCAGCCTTTTTTCTATTGTATCGTGCCTCTTTTTTTCCCCATCTTTCTGTCGTTCTTCATATTTTGAAGAAAGAAAAAAAAAACATCTCTGTTTGTGGTCCCAGTGCCCCATCTGCTACTTGGGTCTAACTTTACCCCCAGCCCCATTTTACCATTTTCCTATAGTCCCTTTGCTCCTTCTTCCTCTCTCTTCTTGCTTTCTGGTGATAGTACCTGATTGCCTGTCTTGTCTGAGCATCCTTGTTAAAAGCAAATGAAGTTTAAATAAAGATTAGTCTATGGTCCACTATAGAAAAGAGTAAATGTGGGTTGGGGAGGTCAGGGGCCTTGTGTTAGACTCTGTGGCATCTCAATTGCAGCCTTATCTTAGATAAAGCTCTGTCCTAAAAGCAARCTTACTGCTACCAAATGACAAGCAAAACCCTGTCAATTCAAAGACGACGTCCGTTCCTTTGATCCATCACTCAGTATTTTGGCGGGAAACTGCGCTGTCCTCCCTGTTTTTACTCTCATCACCTACCATTTCTACTGCATGTGCCCGCTCAAAATGGCCATATCACCAACTTGGTTTCCTCTTTCACTAATKTATTGTTTGTTGCTTGTCTTGTRAACTAGCTGCATTGTAGAGCCTGCWCTTCATTCAAATGGATTCCTTATTCTCTTTGTAAAATTATTTTCCCAGTATGATTTAAGTTATAATTGTATTGTTGATGTTTTTATTGTATTAGTTTTATCAATTATCTCCTAGTTTTATTAGTGTAGAGTGACCCAGTTCCTCCCAAACTTCATCTTGCACAAGTCTGTAAAGCAGCATCCCTCTCTGAGGCCCTCCAAATATGGGATAAATCTTGTGCCAGCAGGAATTGAATTTGAATTGCTCAGATTGAATCTGAATGTGCATAATTTGAAACTGAATGCATTGGTTTGAAAAGGAATTTTACTAAATTGAAACTGAATTTTATGATTTGAAACTGAATTTAGTTTTGTATCTGAATTAATTTGCTTTGAAACTGTATTTTGGTTTGTTAAAAATTCAGTTTGACTGCTTTCACTTTCAGTTCCAAAATTCAGATTTTTGTGTCACACATCCTGGTCCTTGAGAAAGCCAGCCAGAATAATCAAGCACAGATCCACAGATTCATGTTTCAGTTTGGTGAAATTTCCCTTCTGTAATGTAACAGAATTGATGCAATCCACCATAAAAGTGACAAAAAAAGTTATTTTATTGCAGGGATTAATTTGATCTATAGGAAGAAAATGATACATTTACATCATTTCATGGATCACACATTGATCAGATGCTGCTGATCTATGATGGGATGTAAATGTAACATTTTCTATAGGTAAAACTAATCACTGCAATAAAATAAGTCTCTGATTTTGTTAGTTTTGTGGTGGATTGCATCAACTGTGTTACATTACAGAAGAGAAATTTCACCAAAGTAAAACATAAATCTGTGGATCTGTGTTTGATTACTCTGGCTGGCTTTCTCAAGGACCAGGATGTGTGACACAAAAATCTGAATTTTGGAACTGAAATTGAACTATGGCACTGAAAGTGAAAGTAGACAAACTAATGTTTAATAGAACAAAGTACAGTTTCAAAGCAAATTAATTCAGAAACAAAACTTTAAATTCAGTTTCAAATCATTAAATTCAGTTTCAATTTAGTAAAATTAATTCTCAAACCAATGCATTCAATTTGAAATTATGCACATTCAGATTCAATCTGAGCAATTCAAATTCAATTCCTGTTGGCACAATATTGATCCCATACTCCAAACACCTTCTAGTCACATTTAGGACTGAGCTGCATGGACTTTTTTCCCCTTTGGAGCCCTTTTAAAATCCACCTCACAAATCCACTCCTTATACACACACACACACACACACACACACACACACACACACAC